TTAGATCGCGGAATGAGTGCGCCACCTTCCAATCTTTCTCGAAGTAGTAAAGCCTAATTTTGCGAATATACGGATGGTTTTTCGAGTATAATCTTGTAGAGGAAATCAAGTAGATCATTTCTAGAAAAAACCCGAACTCGAAAGTCAAATTCTTTCAAGAGAAAAATAGCCGCGAAAAAATCCGCAATAATTATGCATCAACCTAATATGTACTATCCAGCTCCAAAGCAAAAATGTCACTAGTGTCTCTTCACCCCGCACGGTTTTATTTCAAAATTTCCTATCCACACCTACTCATTTAATCACCCCATTTTGGATTCCTTGAGGCCTGTTTCTTCGGGAACAATCAGCACAAAACAAAGAATAAAAACGTAGTAGAAAAAAGTCAGTAAAAACTCACGACATAAATATACAAAGGCATCAACAACCTGGGATTTTTGATAATGATGCCAATCACAGTACATACACAAGTGGCGAACCCGATTAATGAAATGATTATCGTATACGGCGGTAGTGGTAGTTGCATTAATAAGATAGCCCATATTACAATATAGGCGACCACAAATTTAAGGACCAGCTGAAACAAAAACGTCAAGTCGGAGCCAATGGCAAGTCACATTTTTGATGGAAAACTCTCAACAATAATTTGATTCCGTCATTCACCATTCTCATTACTAATGTTAGGGAGACGGGCAGTAGGATCGGTTTTGGGTAATCGTTTCGCCGCACGCGGCTGTCGCGGACCATTCGCTTCGCCGTTATTACAGCTCTAGCGCTCTTCATACAGCTCAATCGATATGCGATCATCATTTTAGGCATGATTCTACTATTAATTCTTTTGTTCCTTCATTTCTTACCTGCTGCTGCATTCTGCTACCTCCCTTCGCGCACGCCGTCCCTCTCGCTGCGACGCGACCATTTCGACCCTACTGTACCACACCCCTGATATTTCAGGAGAAGACATTCCCAATACCTTATATGCCTTTTTCGCCGATTTTCAATCACTTACCATTTATAGCCCCCCGTCCCCCCAATACATACGCTCGTGAATACGGACTTCGACAGGGCATCTCAAAAAGGTGAACATTCTTTGCAAGTTTGTTTTAAACGCACTCCTCACTAATCTTAATCAGTAGCTACCACTTCTTATTACAAATTATCTGTAATTCTGTCACATTTAACGCCGAAATCTAGCCTAACGAGGCCTTTGCTTCACATAAAAGTCACGAGCAAACTAGTTCAGGCTTCTTTACTCCATGCCGCCCATCATCTTGCTTTTGTCGAGTTCCATAGAGCGCCGTTCAAAAAGAAACTTTAGCTACTTAAGAGTCTCTACAGTACAGCAGTCATTACCAATCTTGATCAGCAGCTCCATACCTTCACCACTCAACGAGGTCCCTCTTTCATGGCACGGTAATCGAGAGGTAAGGAACAGATGACTTGTGCCCTCTATTCCTTTAATTTCTATCGAGGGCAAGTGAAAAGGAATTTTTTTGGGGATCATCCGAATAAAGTATTAGTCGCTATATCCTTTGGTTATTTATGATACACCTGAGTGATTTTGTAATAAACTCACGGAGGAGTGCGCTGTACCGTAGAGACAGCGAAATTTCCGGTCATTTGTACCAACAGGCATCCTGCCAGCAACATCACAGCATTTAAAAAATCCTGCAACTTCTATGCAATATTCATAGAAGACAGAAAAAACAAAAAGCAAAACAAAAACACCGAAAAGCACATCAGCAACTAAGTAAACAAAAAACAAAAACACCGTGATAATCCTCCTCCTGACCAAGTCAACCATTTTTAGAAATTTCGAAAGAAAGCAGCTGACTTTGCTCATTTTGTACTTAAACGTTAGTAGTATATACCTCGACGGACGGAGTCTATGAATTTATCTCTTTTTCAGCAGTAAACCGCTTGTCCACTTGTTGAGAGGTGGATTTTTCGTCCAAGCCACCTGGGCTGAAATGGTTTCATGTACATAGTCAACCTTCATCTTTAAAACTAGCGGAAATCTATAAATAGCGAGAAAACAGTGGAAAAAAACGAGGTGTAATTTCGAAAAAAAATGGTTGGAAACCCGACAAAGAGGAGAAGCGAAGAAGTTCAACATAGATTCTACAAGCAGAACGACAAAATGAAGCAGAAGCTTTGATGCATTGTCCATTGGAGTCTAGTGGCTTCTGATAGGTATAAGTTCCAATGATCATACTGCTAGTCAATACTTTCGTAATGATACCAATCACAACTTAACAGAACAGAATATCGGAAATGATACTCCTCTGTTTCGGAGATCTCATAGATTTAGCCCGAGTGTTCCCCGACAAACGGTGTGTGCCAGGACATTAATTTTATATCTCGTCCATCGGTTGCGAGATCGTTTGTATTGAGAGGAGAAGCTAATGTCGAGAAGCCGTCTGTGATTAATAGTCGTGTTGGTAAACCTGCCTTGTATATTTCATTTTTTTCCATCAGGATAGACAAAACGAATTTCCCAGAAACGTAGAGATAATTGATTGCAGTTTGCCTATCTGGAAACCGTAACAAACGTACATATGCTGATGATGGATTAACATCGGGGTAATCACTGAACATTTGCAGAGAATCTTGCTGAAGCCTAGATTTCTTCTAGAATATGTCTGAAGAAGAGTAGGAACAAGACATACTAATAACTGCTTACAAAGAGCTTCGAGGCCAAACTCCTGACAAAAGTGGGTTCCGGCAGCGAACTGGCCGGATTCGATTCCGGAAGCGAGCATGTACCCTATACGGGGACATTCATCGGCCATTCATTTCATCTCTAAACAAGCGTGGAAGAGGGAGCCGGATATATTATGCACATAAAAGTGGGTGATGTCCTTAAATAGCAAATACTTCTAGGACATTCCAGAAAAGTTTGAATATTGGAGGAAATCTGGCAGACACTCATTGAGCGACCTATTAGTTCACTCTCCTTACCTTTTGAAAAATTAGGGAGCGTATGCTTTCGTTGCCATCTTTACTTTTGATAGCCACTCTTATGACAGTAGCGATGTCAATTAAGAAGTCTTCCGTAGTAGTTAATGCTTGACCAGAGAAGTAAAAATCAATAAAATAATGGACAAAATATTTGCGACACTTCTGTGTGAAGTTAGCGATGTATTCGACAGGGACTAATTGCCCTTGTTCAATGGTATGGAGCTGGAAAAACCATGATGGACTATTTTCTCCCGATGAAACGCTATGACATCACCTTGAACTGCGTAACCATAATGGATGAGGAATATTTAGGTGAGGAATGTCCGGAGGTGTGAGCTACCATTAAAAGGGCTTGGAGTTTGAATTGCCATGCATACTTTCCCTGGCTTACTTTGTATTTGGCGTGAATACATATGGGAAGATTAAAGGCGGAGCATCGATGGTCTATGTGAACGATGACATTGTATGGTAATGCAACTCCAAATGGAAGGTGATTTCATGGTGAGCTCCTGAACAAGGAAGTCACCGTCGTGCTATCCTTGACAGGTAGAAGAGTTCGAATAAATGCAGGAGTGTCCTACTAAGAGTAACAGGGATTCTTGAAATTAACCAGCGAACTATAGTAAGGTTTAACAAAAAATGCGATGGAAACCGTGAAGATCAGAGTGACAATGAATGATTTCTACAGAACTCTTGAAGGATCTACGCATGAGTGTTATATTTTCAGAGATTGTCGTTGTTGTCCAACATTTTCCGATAAAATCATGTAACTCTGATCATTCCGTAATACATTCGAAAGGTATTCCCCGATCACAACCTTCATTTATGAACGGATACACTTTGCTTGGGAATAGCTACGCCCAGATTAAATTCCACCATTCCGAATAGCCGAGTTGAAGAAAATAAGCCAATTTGCCAAATGCCAAAATGGCAACTACCTCAGCCTCAGTTCCTATTAAATCTCAAAAAATCTACCAATATTGACCGTTTACCCTGCTAGGGCCTGCTTCTACCCGCTAAGCCAGACCCACATACCATATTCCCTATCGTGAAAGCATGGAAGAAGTTGTGGGCCGTTTGTAGTTGAAGGCGAGGAACGCATCAGTAAATGATTTCGAGAATAAATTAGAAAAAAATGAATTTTCAAGTAACGCTCTCATTCCCGTTGGTTGAAA